CGTGTACATGTATTCATATGGTTCCATTTACAATGTACATGTACATGTATGTACATGTGCCTGTACATGTACCTGTACATGTACATGTTGTCTGTGCATCGTCTTGTGTTACACAGTACTCCCTTCAGGCCACTAATTTGTCGGGATAAATATCGCATTCGGGCGGGAAAAGTCACTGAATTCTGGGCAGACTGCAGCTCAGAAGTTACTGTGTTTCTCCCTGCCGTAGGAGTAAGGTTCTGCTTGAAAAAGACAGAAAGTTGCAGGAGGAAGGAGCAACGAAAGCTGGCCCAATCATGCACAAATGGACAACTACAGGTGCATGTATCTGTACATGTACATTCCCTGCACTTACATGTACAACAGTGCCACGCTTGTATTGACAGTCTGTTCGTGCGCGCGCTGTACTAGTACAGATGTACACTCTGCCTTGCTTTTTTACACGTACATGCAGGTTTATGTTACATGCTTGATGTCTGCATTAATGTCACTGGGAGAGTCCCCTTACATCGGCTACAAAATTTACTGGCGTCATTGCTGGATGCGTACTGCCGTCAATGAGATTATTGTGCACGAACCGGTACCTGTTTGTCAATATGCCATGTTCCAAGGCTTTAATCAAAGCCAAGAAATCTTGTTGACTACGTAATGGAACTGTATCCCGGAGGCTTCCTGTTCCACAGCGATTGAAGAGACCTCAATCGTAAGATTACCCTGGGACGTGTTCCTGTTCTGAAATTCCACTTTTTCAGTTGATGGGGAATCATTTCAATAAACACAGCGAGTGGGCCTGTATATGAATATTGGCAATGCGGGAAGCCTTGCTGTATGTATCTATACACCAGTAGTGAACTGCTTGTAAATGAAAGAAAATTCCCCTCAGGTACCTGTAAAAGACAAATGGCTGTCTACTTCCGTGTACATGAGTATGACATGCACCACATGCTATCGCTCTGTACATTTACATTATGTAGGCCCAATTGCCACTGTTCTTCGATATCGAGGAAAACACGGATACAAAGTACAATGTACATGTAGGTAGCAGGCAAAGAAGTGCAGTTTAGAAACGATTAAAATTTTTTTTTCTTAATATTAAAACTGCTAGTACATGTGCATATATGTACAGCGCATGAGTTTTACAAAATGTACTTTGGTAGTTTAGAAGGACGTACATTGTGAGTTTGGTAAAATGCCTTCATTCAACAATACAGTCTTCCTTTGGTGACAGGGGAAGGCCTGAGTGTACGTCTTTGTTCATTCAGATTGCGCATGGTACTGGTACAGTGCATTGCCTACACTACAGTGGACACTGCTACTATTGACAGTATTGGGACCGATTGTCATATCACTGCATGGCACATCACTGTTTGTTATCCCTTGTCACTTGTTTTGCTGATAATTCAGGGGCATGTTTGTAGTGTGGGATAGTGATAGGCTGTGTGGAGATTACATCTTTTGGAGTGTATGTTACTGTGAATGCATTACTGGGATTGATTGTTTTGGAGAATGGGTTGAATAGGACTCCGCAAGGAATTTCTAAATGGTGTACAGGTCTCCACAAGGATTTCACGGAACTGATATTTGGAAATCGCTGAAAAAGGAGAAATTTTTAATGTGTAAGAATCCGTCGCAAATTGAAGTGTTTCATATGCGGGACATTCGGTCAAAATTCCAGCCCAGGAGAGTGATTCATGTTGAAATGGGAGCATTTTGAAAACATTGTTTCACACGCGACCATGTTAAGTACTGGAGAACAACGCCATGTCTCTACAAGGCTACACATTTGGAAATGCTGTAGGCCCCATAGAGTGTTAACTACCACTATAGAACAAAAAATGCGTGGATCCGTACACAAGTGCTCACTGTATACGCATGGCTTATTCTGTTCGAGTGAATCCATTGATCATAAACAGCTGTGTACAATGCAAGAGACCTCAGCGTATATCGGTACATGTACCAGTACGTCATACATGTACATGCCGAGACAGGTTCAATTTGTCTTTTCCTCTCTAAAGTTACTTGTTTATGGCTGTAGAGGCATGTACATTGTACATGTATTTGAGAAACTGGGCCAAAAGGTTTGGTGTTCAACACATGCACCGACAGCCCACATGTACATTGTCATGGGTTAATATGTTGGTCATATGTTTCTCATACTGTACATGTAGCTCCTTCCCCTTAAATTTGACAGATTCCATTGATTGGAAAATTGGATTTGTTGAACGCAAATCCCAGTTCTTTCCCCCACACTTCTGCACTTCATGTATCTCTGCTTTGATTGACACTAATGCTTTGAATGGAAGGGTTTTTGGGATTATAAGCATGCCGGTCAATCCCGGGTTCAAGTCACACTCAATCAGCGAGGTCCCGCATCGCATCACAGGGGCTGGTGCACGTAGTAAGGTAGTCACGTACATGTACGTACGTAATTACCGGTTGGATCCCGCCTCGGCTGGAAATGCCCGAGATACGATACCCGAAGATAATTAATTCTCAGTCCTGGCAACCTTTGGAATTCTCGTGGCTTGTTCAGACACCGCCAGCCCCTCGGTGATCAAAAGGCGGAAAAAAAAGTGGCGTGCATTTGAGCATGTGTGGAATCATTGCTGATGGTAATTTAATGTGAGGTGTACACGCGTCGTCGTCAGTTTGCAAATTGAAGCAGTTGTTACAAAGGACGAGTTGTACCATTGAGAACTTAACAAGGCTAAAGTGTACTGCTAAGAATAAATTTCAGCCAGATCCAAACTAGTGTTACCGGTATTTTGTGAAAACCAGTTCCATTCTGGTTATGCAAAAGCTGAGGGTACATGTATTTTAATTTTGCCAAATGTTTCAGAGTATGATTTTGGTGAGCTATCTCCATGTATGCATTCGCTTTCAAGCTACATGTAACTACCAGTAGGAAGAAACCTTCGGCTTCGGGGAATTTAGATAAACTGTGGATGGGGGGGTCAAATTAGTCAAAAACCACACTTTTGAAAGGAGGAAGCTTGGACATCTCATATCCGCTGCTTTCCTCTTACATGTCCTTGACGGAGTGCACATGTATCACAAATAATCAGCACTCCAACAAAAATTGCTCGAAAATGCGATACACATTCAGAAGTACTTGTAGTTTCGAGTTGTTTTGAAACTGTAGCCGACCCAGTTTATTGTGCATGCCCATACATGTACATGTGCAGACATCGCGAAAGAACCACGCTCCGATTGCACATAAAAACAGCTTGAAATTCACTTAGCTGTCATTCCACTTGGAGTGGGCCCTGGATAATCGGGTCCCCTTGATACCATTCTCCCACTACTCGGGATTAGTCATCCTTCAGTAATGTTGCCATTTCTCGTTGCCTGTTTTTGCCATTGGCAAAATCGGACATTAGATGTTCGACCCAGAAATTAGTGCAGTTTGGCATTACTGAGTTAGCTCGGGGCTCAAATGTAATCCATAAATGTACAGGCGAGGCCAGTACATGTACGGTAGCCAAAACAAAGGCTACGAGGCCAGGAGTGCTTCGGGGTAGGTTAGTGCATAAAGTTTTTTTCTTGTAAAAAGCATATAAATGTAGTGCATGTACCAGTACATGTGCCCTAACTTACTTACATGTACATGTATGTACATGTATATGTAGGCAGATGTGTTGGCATGGTCAGACAGGACTTAATAAAATAGAGCATTGTTTGATGTCCTGAAAAGTTAAAGAACAAGGCATATTGTACTGCCTTACATGGAAGTCAGTGTTTTCTCTTCAGCTGCCCTGAGATTAGAATCCTGACCTCTTACCACGTAACATGCTTTATTAACATCTGTCTATCCTTACCTGGAGTACGCCAGAAAGGGCAGCTGGGTTTCACCATGTGGTGTACATGTACATGTGTACATGTAAGTCCCCATGTTATCAATAGGTCTTTCTCATGCTATATACTTGAACATACATGTACATGTATGTTCGCCCCTTCGAGAGCGAAGTGCCCCGCCCGGGTAATATCTGCAACCAACCAAGGGTGATGTTCCAGCAAACTTTGGCCGCCTGCACAAACAGTACCGGTAGGCAATTAGGTAGAGGTTGATCACTTGCTAAAAAAAAACCTTCCAGGGTTGCGCACCGGGCCAGAAGCTTTCAATACAGTTCTCCTTCCTTTGCTTCTCAATTACGCACTGGTGGGCCGTGTCCGAATCAACTGGCTTACGGCTAGGTGTATAGCGCACAGGTCTACGGGAAGTAGCCACTGCCGCTAGCCATGAGGCTTCCCATAGGAGCCTGTTTTGTTGCTAGCCGTAGCCCTAAGGTTGGTACACAGCCATCAGTGTGTGTACAGATCTCGAGCTGCGCACATAGACTGCTTGCTTAAGGTACATGTCCATGTACAATTGTGCCCACTCTGCAATGCGAATATTCAAGCTGATGTACATGTGCAGTACCTGTTGTCTGTTTTCTTAACTGAAGCTGTGCTACTCTTTCAATTGTAGTTTCTACTCACTGTGTTTACAAACCAAACACTACCTCTATGTACATGTACCTATATCTTTACTAATGGTGTGCTTGAATGCTAATACAATATCGCCATAATAGCTGCTAACGTCAAGATCTTGAGGGTATTTCTCCTATTAGTATTTGTGGTCAGATATTCAAGAGGTATCTTCCGGGGTACCGGTAGATATATTTCCTACTTTGTAAATTTCAATATTTGTAAATACTCATTAGGCCATTGCATAGAGTGTATTTTTTTTTTCACAAGGCCAATACATGTACATATTCGTGAAGTCCTGTCCAACGTCACCGAGCCTGTAATCACGTCAGTAAAGTCGGTGCATTAGCACATAATGAAATTTATCGCTCGTTCCACCGCTTACTCTTCTCGTTACCACCTCACCATTGCCATGGCAACCAGCGGCCCATGATTGGGCTATATATTGGGACGTCCTGTTGAAAAAAGAAAACAAAAGAACGAAGGCAGCATCTCTGATCTCTGTCTCTCTCCCGTTTTCGTCTCGCCGCCAGGTTCGACGGACGACATCCAGGTCTCCTACTCGTCCGACAATGCCACCCCAGAAGTCAAGGGGACCATGACACCCCCCGTGGAGCGCAAGACCAAAAAGTCCACAATACCCCGCTTCTTCAAGCCCTGGAAGTGGAAGAGGAAGAAGAAGGCCGATGTGGGCAAGGAGCCCATTCAAGGTAAGAGACACAGAAGCGAAGAAAACCTCGGAAGTGGCCAGTGCCAGTGCGCAAACTAGAGGAAAGCTGTGCATGGATAGAGATGAAAAAAAATGGCTCAGTACTTTAGGGGAGTGGGAAAATACCCAACTTGCAAAAGAGACAGTGAGTCACTCTGTAGGGTTAAAATAAGGCGTTACGATTCTGGTGTCCCTGAGCACGATGTTTTATAATGAGCTTTCTTTGCTGTGAAATATAAATGAGTAAGTGTATATATCGGAGGATATCGCGCTGACCTTGCATTGCTGATGGTGATCTTGTGTATATGTACATTAACCCTCCTATGCTGAAGTCACTCTGTGGGTCATTTGGTGAACACCTCAAAGAAGCACAGCTGTGTCATGTTGTGCACTGCACCAACTGTCCCTCACAGGAATATCAGATTGCACTTTTGTGCTGCCTAACAACTGTGCTTCACTGTTTCATGTGCATAATTGTGCAGTAAACCAAATGCAGTGAAGAGGACTGCACAAAAGACCCTGGGTCATTTTGTGCTGGCCATCAACTGTGTACACACTGAACCTGTGCATGTTTGAGTTCCATATAGAAACTACATGCTCACCAGTGACTGTGGGCATTTGTGCACATTTGTGCTGTAAAACCAAAGGAGGGTTAATTGTGAAACCCTGAGATAAATTTATAATGTGTTTGTTGTGAAGTTATTATGTAAGCAACGCAGTGGGTATAGGTTCGCGTGTGATTTGGTGATATTTTGCATAACATAGTATTTTGGGGGTTCACTTTCAGCTTATGGGAACGAGGTCCCTGATTCCTCCAATCAGCCTCTTTCCCCAGCACAAGAGGTTTCCACGCCAGCTGCTCCAGGTAAGCAGATTGTCCCCTGGTGGCAAGGTTGCTGTCCACCCCCCCTCCCACCCCCTCCCCTCTCCGAATCGCCCTCTCTCTCTCTCCCTCCTCTCTCCATCCATGTGATGAATATGTGCCCAGGTGCACTGTAGACAAGTAGAAGAGGTCTGGCCTCGGGTGTAACATGGGGGAGATAAGCTCCGAGTGTGGGATTTTATGGACTTCCTTCTACGCATCAATACTCGCCCTCAGCAACATGATAGAAAACGTGAGCGGCAGAAAACAGGGCTTTTCTGCATTTTTACCTACTGAGAAAAGGGCACAAGTACACACCCGCTTGTGCTGTGAGACACGTAGAGTAAAAGTGTGTAGAAGACTCTGGGATTTGCAAGACAGCGTAAAATTCTACAAACATTCACAGGATGATGTCGTCGTGATGTCGTCACTGGTCAGTTTCATCCGTAAAACATCACGGTCTGCCGGCTTATCAAGAATGAACCCAATTGGACCCACGGTTTTCTAGTTACAGGACCTTTAAATGTGCACCTTTGAAGATGACGTCACGTGGCCCGTGATAACGTCATCATGACGTGACCTTAAATTTCATCTACATGTACATGTATGTATAACACCTCCCTGTTTATGCACATCCCTACTCATCACCCACTCACCGTCAAACACAGATGGATAAAAACAGGTGCCTGGAATTCTCAGAAGTTCTCTCAGTATAGTCCAAACAGGATATTCCAAAACGATAGGATGTTCGGTATTAAAAGCGATTACAACAGACCACTTCACTTTTTGGGGGGTCTAAGCTACATTGGCATAAGTCTTGACTTGCACATAAGAAGTTTCCTCATTGTACTGTTAATAGTACAGTTGACAAATGGTTGTTAATAACGAGAGGTCTTTTCTTGGAAATCATGCTCAATGTTGAAGAGCGTGGAAGATAAAAGGAAATCGTAGGCACTCTGCTGCCAAAGTTCATGTTGAAAAACATTTGCTATATGTCGGAGCGTAAGCGATACCCACACCATCTGTGCGCTCCCTCGCGTGTGATGATAAGCTAACACCATGCGGCTGGTGAGCCCACCGCAAGAAGCGAGCGGCAACTGACGGAGGGAAACACCTCAAAGTACATGCAAGATGGGAGCGTAAAGAAATGATGCCTCTGCCACATGCGCACGGTTTGATATTAATCGGAGAGGCCATAGATCGTAGAGAAACACTCACCCGTGCATCGCGCAGTGCGCTACATTCCTACTGTTAGTAGACACTCAGAGGTGAAAGAGGTGGGGGTATTGTGATGCAGGCATTTTAGTATTACAGGCACCTGTCATCTGTTTCTGAAAGTACATGTACAGTGTCGGGAAGGAAAGAGTCAATCTGAGTGCATGTGCTAGAGGATTTGTTTGTCCTAGTTCAAGTCTGCCAGCCCCGTTTGAAAGGGGGATATTTTAGCTGGGGTTGAAACAGTGGAGGTACATGTCAAACTATCCAGGGCCATTTTCAGACTGGAAACCTTCCCTCGTCCCGCTGAAATCCAACACTGGGAAAGTAATGGCAAGAACTATGCACTTCAGTGAAATTGAGAAATTGAGCCAGCATAAAATAATTAGCACATCAGCCCAGGGGCTTGGATATTGCATTTCTGAGTCTAGAAATGAATGTTGTCTTCCTGAATTTGGAGTAGGGTTTTGATCTCTTGTTGATACCTCCGCTTTGGTGAAACATTGCTGCAAATTATGCAATATATATCTGAACTATTTTTGAAGCATATTTCATCAGGTGTTTTTGTTTTTGTTCCTTTCCAATGTTTTTGTTAATTGTCAATTTATATGTTTTCTCTATTTTAAATGTGAATTATTCATTTTTTATGTACCAGTATTTACTACAAATTTATGCTCAACATGAACAAATGCACATTGCCATGGGAAACAAGGCCGTACACTGCACTGCATCAGAAATCGCACCGCTAAAAAATGAAGGACGCCAAAGAACAAGACATAAAAGTCAAGGGTGAATTTGTGCCGGTCCGTCGCATCCCATTATCCATCACGACCCGATTCCTCATCGCTGATGGCAAAAGCTGAACAGGCTTCCTATTCCCTCTGTCCTCCTCCCCCGAAGGTGGAACGGGAGGAACGCAGGAGCGAGACAAACAGAGACGTGGTCAATCAGGCGTACGTTTCCTGACAATTTGCCGTAATCAAACATGATAGAGCCCGCAGTCCTGACGTGGTTACGCAGGGAAAGAAGACCGTGTACGCTTTGTTGTTACTCAAGCCAGGGCTTTAGAGACAGTTGCACTTGCGAAGAGGCCTTTGTGCTGACAGCCATTCTTGTATGGTACCCGGTAGCTTCCCAAACGTAATCAATGCAATAAACCAGCATTGCATTCTTTGTATTTAAACCTAATTACTTGTGCCCGGCAGGACACAAAGCCCTTCCATACAAGTACGTATACAGTGATGAATACCTGTCACCAGCAATGCATTGCAAATCGTAAACCTTGCCATAGATCACACCGGAGGCCCAGTCAAATATGTACAGTACATGTACTGTGTACAAACTGTAAACTGTGCTTTTGTCTGAACATCTGTTGTTTGCCCTGGTACTGTTGCATTAAGCATTAAATATTAATATAATCATTGATATTGTCTGGCTTTTTTGTCTTGTTTATGTGCTTTAGCAGCCCTTGCTTGTTATTAACCTTTAGCTTGAAATTATTACCCCTGGAGGTTTTTCATTGATTTGGGGTTCGGCGTGTAACTTGCCATGCCTTTTCAGGTATTTCCATCTGATGTTTCGCCTGTCCTCGGCCTTTATCCATACTTCTGTCCTCTTGCTGTTTTTGTTCGATGTCATTTTTACTTGGGTCCTTTAAAATCGTTTACTTGCCGGCACTTGTACCCTGGATGTGTCATTTCCCGCACTGTGTGCGTAACAATAAATATATTTCACCATTTGAAAGTAAACCAGATATGGACTTTTTCCAAGTTCCAAATTCAAATGTGCATCTGCTTTTCAAAGATTCCTTCCAGTTTTCCTAATTTTTGTGTGGGTAATTCCAGCAATTAGGGTTTTTTCGTGTCCATGTGTCCATGTTTTTTCGTGTCCACATCTGACATATGATTTCATAAGTTCAGAACACATTTTCTAATTTCCAAGAGTGGTGAATCAATGCTCATTACCTGCCAAACAAATGGTAATAGTTTGAAATCAATTCTGTTGATATTTCCATGTCAAATCACAAAGGTCAGATGTAACAGGGACACAAAAATGTCACACTTTTGGACCCCTGATTTCTGGAATTACCCATGTTGCAGACACGTGAACTAGGAGTCAGACAACAGTGTCTTTAGAGTGGGGAATTCAAATTGTTATGTTTGTGTGCAATCAGATAACTCAGGGCACCAGATTTTATTCTTCAAATTTAACTCACAAAACTCTTATTACATATTCACGTAGACGTGTGTATGACTTTGATAGCAAAAAGATCAGCCATTTCTGATTGCCTCAGCAAACCATGTTGAATGTAGAACGGAAAAAAGTGCAATTGGGATTGTACAACACGAGCAGTAGAGCATTTTTACAAACGGATTGAACTTTCCATTCATATATCTGTTGTCATACACAAGTGCCATAAACTGCTCTGTGCACAAGTTTTGTTTTTCCTGAACAAACTGGCACTTACGACCAGGAGCTCATATTTTTTTAATTTCTTTCGTTATTTTCGTTCTGCCGTTGGCTTTCAACACCTGCTTACTTTTTTTTGGTTTTTTTGGATCAATTTTTGTTTCCTTTTAGATGCGACAGCAACAAATCCAGAGGCTGCTTATTCATCAGATACCTCAGGAGGACCAGAATGTGTTCCAACATCAGGTACAAGCCAAAATTGAAACAAAAAGGAACCAAAGAACCAAATTCTGCCCATCCAGAATTTGCAAGCGGGACGTTCTCCCGTGTATGACACGTTTCAACCAATGAAACTGATTACGAATTCTGTATATCGGAATATCCAATCTGAGCTTGGTTGATATCTTGTTTAGTAGAGTTGTGTTCTTTGAAGCTGAATTGAAACGTAGAATACTCTCAAGTTTAACCCTTCCTCTTGAAATTTCTTGCAAGAAACCTTCCTGAATCCTCCCAAATCCTTCACTGTGGAGGAAACCAGTGGCACATTCTTTGTAATCATGCATCGAGGAACATCATGCTTCATTGCAGCAATAATTTGGGCTGGGTCGTACCTTCCTCCATCTCACAAAACCATTAAATCCTACTGGTTGATTTTTTGTTATTTAATAGTCGATTTGGCTGTTGATTATTTCTTCTTAGTTCAGTGGGCCGTATTTAATTGCAGAAATTGCCCGAAGGCCATAGAGGGATCTTAACAAAATCAGGTACTTCTGTTTGATTGCACGGACTCACTTTTTTTTTTTACCCCTTGCCTGCTGGCGTAGAGCTAAACCTTTCAAAGCGTAATGGAAAGTGTTCCCAAGTGACTCGACTTTTTTGGTTAACGTTTGGCTGCTTTTGCCAAAAAATGAGAGGAAACACTGCCGCAAAGTTCGTTTCCCCGAAGAGGTCAAAATTGGATGATAACTGTTACAATATTGAGTTGCGAGTTGACGCACATTCATCACTGGGACGTAATTGAGTCTTCAAATTGAACCGCAGTAACTCTTGCCCCAGCCTCCTGACAAACCCCCCCCCTGTGCTACTGTATGTCCCACGGGGTCACCATTAATCCTGGCCGGCCTGTCGTGGAAAGCAGCAGAGAATTTCTGCTCTGCCTGTCCCACTGAATCAATGCGAAATAGCAAGAGTTTACTTGGTAAAGCGGGGGGCTCTTTGCGCGAGAGGAGTTATATTCTCCGGTCGGGGGTTGGGAATTAGTCGGACGTTGATGGATTTGTCGGTACGGGCCTGCCTCACCATCTGCAAAGTGGTTGTAGCCTGTTGCCGTCTGTCGTACACAATGCCCGGAGGCGCGACGCTCTACTTCTGTAGACTGCGTGGGTGTTCATACCGGTAGACGAATAGAACACAACACATATACATCTACAGTACCTGTACCTTGAAATAAATGACCAGGTGTAGTCTGAAGCCACTGTCCTGTCATTGATGGTGACAGACTGACAGGTGTAAAAAAAAAATTTGCTACTTCAGTGGTCAGGGTTTCTCTCTCAATGACTGACCTTTTGGAGTACTTCAGCCGTATACTACCTGTAAGTTCCCTTGCGGCACACATACACGTAACTCTTGTGCAAAATGGGGACAGGTCTGAAAAAAACAGTGGAAACATTTGCCTTCAGTGGAACCGTCACTCGGACAGCTGTGGAGGAAAAAAGATGTAGGAAAACATGCCAAGTTTTCCCCGAGCCCCTTTCTCTCTTTTTTTTTTTTTTTTTTTTGTTTGGGCGGGAGGGATTGTTAAACTGAACTTCTGCGAGTTTATGAGTCAGCCTAAACTGTAACAGCTACCGTGTCATACTGCCCTGCAAATTGCCAATTTCCCAGCTCCAGTTCTGTCTAGCGTTTATCACCGGCGCATTTACGGAACACCATTTGCCCAGACCTGTTAATTCCATCTCCAGCCATGGTTACAATAACTCAAGCCTACCAGGTGCTCGTATAAATGCACATTTACACTTTGGGCAATTAGGCAGTTTGTCAGCTGTGGTATTTCATTGATGAACAGTATGCATGCTCATCCGTGCTCTGTGTACTTTCATATTAATTCTACCCCTTTCAAACACGGGGATGCATGTACTTTTTCCCCTGCAGCGGTGGCACAGTTTAACCCTAACAGCCCTAAATACTACAAAGTACTACTTAGTAGTAAAATGTAGTATTCAGCGCTGCCGCTTGTAAGAGGACATGACCGTATTGTTCTCTGAAGCCATAAAATACAATAGATAAGACAATGTACCATACAGTGCTGTGGCACTACTGGTATGAATGCATGGCTTTATCGTTCTCCGTACCAGTGGCAATGGAGGGTGACCTAGCCAGAAGTAGTCATTTGTAGTGCTAGGTCCTCCAGGCTCAGACTACTGCTTAGTATTTTATAGTACTGAGTACTGCAAGCCAAATTTTATGCAGAACTGTTAGGGTTAATATAACAATCCAAATGCTCGAGATTGGTGTCAAATTTGTACATGTATATGTGTACTTGTAGTCTCCGCTTTTAAATACAGGTGTACATGCAGTGAGCAGTCATATGGGGGTAGTCGGGCACTCTTCGGTCGCTGGTTCTATTTGTTTTGGACTCCTTATGCAGTCCTGGTGATGTTGAGCCGGTGTGCTCATACATGTAGTACAGTGCTCATTGGTGGTAGTCCAGGTGTTTGGTCCTTCTCTAGCATTGTGTGTCCGCACAGTAAACAATGCCATTTACCGAGTGTGTGAATGGCTGTGCGGATATGGAGAGTTATGTTTCAATTACGATGATAGTTCCCGCTCGTGCGATATTGGATGTGCCAAATGTTGCTCTTTTCTTGTTATTAATCGGAGACTTTTTCAGTGGCTGTTTCCTGTTGGCGTTTGTCGGTGAAAGGCTTGCCTGCTTGTTTTCACTTTTCCTGGTCACAGTTTCCTTGTATGTATGTATGTATACCGCATCATTGGTATAGTTTTTCCCTCAAAAAGTAAAGTATATCCAAAGTTTTAAAATCTATGAAAAATATGAATTGCCAGTTGAACAACAAAGACGAGCACCTACGTGTACGTGTAGAAAAAACGCCACAAAAGGGCCCCTCAAAAGAATTTATTTTCCCCAACAAATTTGAACCATGCTGCTAACACCGTAGGGTGTGCTCAATCCAACGTCTATTTCCCATGGGGTCGGATCATACTGCAAAGGTTTCCCGCCCTCTTTCTGAGAACCATCGCATCTAAGGCTTTGGCTTTGAGCCCAAATCCCTACAGAAGCTGACACCGTATTGCTGATCTCCAACGAGGCAGCTGACGCTTTAAGATCAAATCGAGTGCTCGTTGTCGCTCCTTTTTTTCTTCTTTTTCTTGCCCGAGGCGATGACGTATCTGAACAAAGTCCAGAATGATATGACACGAGCTCCGGAGAAGTTACAAGTATCTAGCATGGGTCGACCGACTCGCTGAAAATAAACAGTTAATCCTGTGATCCCGGAGATCCTAGATCTCAGAAAGTGGGGGGGGGGACAACTAGTTTGATTGGATGTTATCTGGAGTGCGTCAACAGGGCTGGCTGTTTGATTGGATGCCTCTGTGGTCAGGCGGAAGGAAATGAGAGCAAAAGTTGTCCCCCGGTGAGTGGAGACCAACCACAACCTGACAGTTCCTCCCAGCGATAGCATCGAGCTGCCGCGACCCATCTTAGATAGATCGTCATCTTCCTTGTCGAGGAAAGGCACGACCCGTTTCCCTGTTTCTCTCCTCTCCGCTGGAGGGGCCCGTTCTTTCAATTCTGCTCCTATCTTCAGCGGCAAGACTAGTTGAAGGAGGCACACAGGAACAGGTACCAGTACATTTGAACGTGCCTTTGTCGAGTTTTCTTTATCGCCGTCAACGGATCTGTATTCCCCGATCTTTAATCCTTATTAAAAGCACAAGCTGTTTGTGACGATGGCTGTAGCGTTACTCAATGAGTTGAAGACGCAGAGAGCCTGTGTACACTTGCATCCATACCGGTAGTTTGCTAATAAAACTGTAAACATTATTAACCCCTTTGCTACGGAGGACTGCTACTACCGCACCATTGTGTGAGCATTAGTGCATACCACACATACAGTCTATTCACCATGCAGCTGCTGGTTCAATGGGGCCTGCTGCTGGACAAAGCCCTTCATTCAGGGCATACCACAGCTCAGCAGTCAGGGGTCAAAATAATCCCGCCGTGAAGGGGTTAATTATCACAGGAATGCAAGTGGAACACAGAATAATGTATACCAGGAGGCTTTTAGCGTAAATATAGCGCAATGCGTTAGAATAGCGCATTACACGCAGTTTGATATGAACCGTGCAGTAGAGTTACATGTATATATCACACTGTTTGTTGCCATGGATCGACCAATTAGAATTGACAATTCAAGGTTGCTTGATGGTACATGTAGACCTCGAGGAAGCTGTAATAGGGAGTATTTGATTTTGTCAATTGAATATGATACCTTGACATGTATGTTAAGTAGAAGAGATCATAACTAGTGTTGAATGAAATCTAAAACTGTTCACCAAAAATCTGTTTTGTTTGAAGTGAAAGTCGAGTTTGTGATGGAACTGTACATTTTAACCACTTCCTGCCCGGTGGAATTTGCATATGCAGTACGACTTCCCCCTGGCGATTTTTAAGATTTTCTGTTTTCAAAATGCTTCAAAAATTTAGAACTTCATTTACTGGACGTTTACACCCACACAAATGACTGTCTGGTGGCTACTCTAATCTGACCATCATGCCCAAGTATTGCAGCCACGCCTGCCGCCCAGTATAGAGAGCCCAGTTTTGCAGTGTTGCGTAATTTCCTCTGCTCCCAAAATTGGCCCTGTGTGTTGCTGAATGGCAGTGGTGTCTTTTCAAGTGTGGCCAGATTAACATGCAGTGGTGCTGTATCACTCGTCGCTGGAGCACTTTTGCCCCCGCTGATAATCTGCCGGTGCTGAATGCCACAAACAGTGGTTTACTGTTTCAAACAATGACAGATTACCTCCGCTAATGCCAGCTCAAAATTGTTGGCGATTCCCAGCAGCTCCGTCTTTTGTTCGGAGTACAGTCTTTTGTTGCAAGGCCCAGCTCCTTTGTCCAATTTCGTGCACCCCGGCTATGCGTACAAACCCAAGGTACCGGGAACCCCAGAGGCAAGTGGTTTAGGAAATATGTTTCACTTTGTCTTCGTGTACAAGTAAATGTTTTTCTGCTTCGGGAAAAAGAAAAACTGGTTTTCACCGAAGAATTGAAGTGTCATTGCCAATGTTGGTCATTGCTAATGTTTGTCATTACCAGTGTTTGTCATTGCCACTATTTAATCCTTCAAAATCCAGCTGGAGCTTTGGAGGATTTTGAGGAAAGTCGAGCCCATTTGCAATGATTACTTCCCCTGGGGTTTGATTCCCCTTCAAAGCAGAAGGAGAAAGTATGTGCCATTGGTTTCCTGCACGGCTGAGAATTTAGGAAAGAGTCAGGAAGGTTCCTAGCCAGAATGATTTAGGGAGTTATAATGCAGTGTCAATCAGACATATGCTACCCAATCTAACAAAATGAATCAAAAGTTGCTGTAGTCACTTGTGATAAATGAGCTGCTATGACAATTTTGCACAATGTAAATCGACAAGAACCATCCACCAGGCCATTTTCATGAAGGCACCAAACTGAGCCATGCAGTTTACTCTTCCTGACGCGAACTAAAACAAAATTACTGAGAAGAAGAACTTTGAGTTTTGTTTCGTTGGATCTGATCACGTACATGTGTCTGTTCCCCTCCCTCCCTTTGTCGACATGTACAGAGATGACGGACCAACCAGCCGTCGGTTCACCTGAAGTCACCCAGGTGGAGATCAACAGCACGGACCCCGATGTGCCCTCTGTCACTGCCGAGCCGGTGCCTGACGCAGCCCCGGCCACTCTGACTTCCCCCGGTGGCATATCCCCGCCCCTGCCCGAGAAGACTGGGAGGGTCAGTCCGGCCTTACCCCCAAAGAAGAGTGTGTCACCGGCTGTCCCACCCAAGCAGGGGGTACGAATCGGCGGAGTGGGAATTGCAGCTGACGTACAGGTCGCAGGTAAGATATTTGCCTTCATGTCCACCTTCAAACAGGGCATAGACCGCCGGCAGCAGGGATGGGTAGCCAAAGCGCTAGCATACTATCCAAAAGGTTCCTCGATTCGCATCCAACTTTAGCCAGTCTGTGTTTGTTTCACTGGAAAATCCCACTCTTTTGTTGGCCCGCCAGGTTCCCCAGCGGTCAACCATACCGGTCACAGTGTCGGCTTTGCACCGCATGACAGAGGTCAACAAGTACCTAGAGCTGTTGGCTTTGGCAGGTGAGGTGGGGTATTGCAAGCAATGCTGATGCAATGCTAGCACTAGGAATTACAGGTCATGGGTTCAAATCCCGCCCAAGCAGACACTGAAATTTTTTTGTACTTACAAGCCCGCAGAAATATCAAGCTTTCATCTCTGATATGCAGTGAAGAGCAAATCTATAAATTTTCTCCTAGTTTTTTACTTGATTTTGATACTATGACTCTAGTTACATTGTGGCTTCTTAGTCTGAGTTCGTTCCCATGTCAAACAGGTGTTTTTTCACCTGGCCAACTATTTTGGGGTGCTTCCATTTATTTTAACAGCCACGCACGGAACATACCTGATGCCGACGGTGACGCCCGCGATCCGACCCCCGTGGCCGGTCAGTGCAACGGCGACATCAACCATGCCAATGATTCGGACGAGGACAGCCTCAGCGACTACGACAACAAAGAGAACGCTCACGAAGACAGCGACTCGGATGACGATTATAACAGTGAGTAGCATAGGCCAGTTGCACTGTTCCAACTGCGCATGCATGCATTAAGACTTAACGATTTTTGTCTCGAGATAAGCGCTGCAGACAACGAGCGCGAGTGTTGGAGGTACGTAGTAGCCAAACTTTTTCAGTTACTATTTTTAACCCAATCAAAAAAGAAGATGGATGCTCTCCTGCAGACAAATTTTGGAGCATAAAAAAGAACCCTGAATCATCATGGTCTCCAAACCTAGTTCTTTAGTGAGGCTCATAACACAACTTTAAAACACAATAGTGTACCCCAGATGTAGCATTCCGTGGCACCCCATGAGGTCACCAGTCCCACCTTAATTTAAAAAGATGAAAGTGCATAAAGAGAAAGCACAAGAAAGACAACTTTTAGCAAACGTGAATGCTTACCCCTCAATCCCTGTTTGAATTCTTAAGTAAGACCTTTATCAATAGAAACCTGCCAAGAGTAGTTGAAGCGTGGACACGCGTCGTCACATGAAACCCCGCTTTTCACTGTCTCACAAGCGCCCAACATCCCATACTTTCTTTCAAGCCATGATCACCCCTCTCCCCATTTCTTAAAACACTCCTTAGTCTAGCCTCTGGACCGTTGACCACCTTGTTTCCCTCCCAACAGCGAGTCTGGTGGCCAGGGTCAAGCGCAACGACAGTCTGGCCTTCCATCTGCGTAACCGGCCCACCCGCGAGGCGTTGCAGGCGAGAAACATCCTGCCTCAGAAGACTGACAATGAGAAGAAGGAGTTGATGAATGCCATCGGCACCAAGCTCGTCCGGTAAGGATGACGGAAGAAGAACCCACACCGACCCGAAAAACCTTTCTCTTGGGAAATAAATCCACACTTTTATTTTTCCACCGTTAGTTTGGATTTTTGTCATTCTGCATAGCCTATGATCTCAGCATAAAGAAGCAAGTTTGAGCAATGATTTAAAGCAAACAGTTGGTCAATCAGCATTGCCCAAAGAGTGGATGGTTTGGACCACATAGTCGACAATCCGGAGCCAGGCTCTGGGGCATGGGTGCACCGCCGGTTATCAGAAGTAGATTTCGTTTATCAGGACGGAGTGAACCATTCACGTGAAAAAAACAGTTGAAGGAGACCTTGTCAACTGTGAATGCTGTGAGGGTTTTTAGCTAACGTCAACGTGTAAAAGACAATGAGATGTTACAAAACTCTTGCACTGGGGTTGTTTGAGTCAGACTGTATTACATTTATGCATTGTTAAAAAGCAATAAGCCAGTGGTCAGACTACACACCCTCAACAGGCAATGTGGCAGTGGGTTGTAGAGCACCCTCGTGAGTGCATGCACACAGCCACCGAGGAAGCTTATTTTGTCTTCGATTCGGACTGATCATTTCCGTTTGGTTTTTCTCATTTGTTTTTCAGGCGTCTCAGCCAAAGGCCCACGCAGGAAGAACTGGAGCAGAGAAATATATACAAAGGTAAGGATCCTGCAGCATAGATGTGAATCAAGAAACTTACCCTGAAAATCACAGGTGCCGAAAACATGCCGTGAAGTGTTGGACCGGGGGGAGGGATTGAACATCCCAAAGTAGCCATCTCGCGAAGAAGGCCGTCCTGCGGAGGACCGTGCACCATTTGTGAACCAACCCAACGAAATCAGTCTTGTGTCGCCACAACTACTTTTGAGTCACAGGCCTTTACAAGAAAAACACATCCTGCACAGTGCCAATCAAAGGGGAGTGGCGGTCCTGGCTTGTGTCACGCCTGTATTTACCAGGCATTGTTGGGGTTTACCAGGCAAATTAAGTCCTTCTGATGCATGTGAAAAACAAATTATTGAACAACAAAACGCACTTACAGGTAACTCTCCCCAGAAGATCTGCTCAACTGTTCACCATTTTGTCTCGCATTCATTGCTAATGTTTGTCTTTCTCATGTTTTATTCTCCCCCCCCTTATTTTCCCCGCAGCTCAGTCCTCGGGCCTGACTGAGAAGGAACAAAAGGAAGAGAGAAAGAGGATTCTAGTCAGAAAGGTCAGTCCTGTCACCATGGCAACAGGCATCAGACGCTGCCTCCCGAAACATCCGATGCTAGTTGTGTGGTTTTATCTGAATTTCAAGCATAATTTTTGATTGGTCATGTGATCGACTTGTGAATACCACTCCGAAGTTTTACTTAGGCCAAAGTTATTTTTTTTTTAAGACTCGGGATGATATAGGGGTTTACATGTGGGAAAATAAATATGCTGGCGACATCACCCACACTTTGCTTTAACTTTTCTTTGCAGCTGAGTTTCCGTCCAACCGTTGAGGAGTTGCGCCAGCGCAATATTATCAAATTCAATGAGTACGTGGAGGTGATGGAGGCATTTGACTACGACCGGAAGGCCGACAAACCCTGGACAAAACTCACGCCGCAGGACAAGGTAAACAAGAAAACAAAAAAAAAAACCAGAAAGCCCCAACTTACTTCGGTTATAAAAGAAGCAGGAAGCTGTGCGTGCTCTTTGAGTTTTATCAAACGGCAGCCTTTGAGTTTTCCCTCTAGGACTCTGCTTGGGCAGTAAGCTAAGGGTGACCCATGAGTTTGTAAGGGATCGTTTGTTGGGATTAATTTAGAGTGGGCAAAGATTTCACTGCATGCAATGCCTTTTCAGTGTAGAAAACTGCACATGCTGTGTTTAGCGACAATTGGCAAATGCGAAACTCGCTACATGGGACTTATTAGTCGATGGTACTTGTTCACTAGGGAAGACAGACGTCTGTATCCATGACCAAATCCAAGGAATCTAGCCATAGGTTACTTAATCCACCTCCCACTTATCGGCCCTTCAACAACTTAATTGATCTGCAACTTTAATCAGCACGAACTCTGGTGTTTTCACCCACTCTTTATCCATGCCCATAAGAATGTCAAATCGAGGAATGTATCAATGCATCAGAGCAAAGAGCTGGGTGTCTTCTCTCCAATGCTTATCAAAAACAACTGAGTGAAGAAATAAATTGGCCTGTAAGCCTCGTTTTGTTGGACTCACTTTTGGCATCGTGCATTGTTCTGTGAAGTGTAAAGTTTCACAGGGAGACAATGATGTTTTTTCCACCCCGCCACCTCAGGCATCAATACGTAAGGAGCTGAATGATTACAAGAGCGAAGAGATGGACGTCCATGAAGACAGCAAGAAGTACACCAGGTGAGGGCGCACATCAGAGAGATTGATCATAACCAAAAAAACCCTCCTTGAGGGAGTGGAGATCCCTTTGTTGGCTTCAGATACACCCATGAAACCTGTTGAGAGATGCTGAAGTTGACGAGTGCCTTTGAACAAAATTGGCGGCAAGCCAACAGTTGGCTGAGTATTTCGGGTGGTAGAACACCTGGCCAGTGTTTGGAAGGTTACAGGTTTGAATTCCACTCCAGTCAGTTTCTGTGGGCAGACATGCAGGGGAAGAGGTAGTGCATGGAAGGAAGGTTTTGGACAGTCAGGAAGCAACTGTGCAGAATGGATGAGGTGGTGGAGCAGCAGTCTGGCACTCCGTATGTCTCTGGTTCAGATCCAGTTGCAGTTGATGGCTCTTGGCAAATATTCAAAGGAAAACCTCAGGTAGTGGAAATAAAGGGAGCCTTTGAATGCTTTAGAGATGGCCAACAAAGGACTAATAGGTTCGGTTTGAGCAATTGATGTGGCATTCCTGAGAGGGTAGGCTCAACTCCTGTCTGCTTTACCCAGTTTTTTAATACCAAACCTCTGCTTTCTTACGCAGGTTCCACAGACCTTGACATCAGCTCTTGGACTAGTCTTCTCTCCAGCCGCATGTACAGACTGTACAATAGTGTAATTTTAACCCCAGCTGTGGATTTACTGAGGAAGCTACTTATTCTTCATGGCATGACCTGTGACCCATCACATGACTTGGTGAAGTTTTCCAGTTACACATGGCCCAAAAAGGTCACTTAATTTACAGGTCTGAGCTCACGACATAAGTTGTTGCATTAAGACCATACACAGAGCTATGTTTGGCGATCAAAACTTGCATTTTGACCGAAAACCGCATTAACCACAATGCAATGTAAATCTGTAATGTGAGGCTTGGAATCTGCGCAGAAAGTTGAATAATAATGTTGCTTGCAAAAAGAATAGCATAAGTAACCACCAGCAGCCATCTTGGTATGGTGCCCCGACTGGCATAGGCAGTATACCATTGTAGTTCATGATGGTACAGGGACCCTGTTGACATTTTTAATAGGCTGAAGATGTTTAAACAGGGATTTCAGCAGCAGAATTTGCTGTTGAAAAAGTGACTCGAGAACATAAAGACAAGCAGCTGTAAACACACACAAAAACTGGCCTTTCCCCGTCTAGGGTTGATTGTGGTGGTCAGAGTTTTAGAATGAGGGATGCGTCGTTAGGAGATCCGACATTTGTTCAACAACACTGCAACACTTGACTCGTCTTTCATTTTCTCTCAGTAACCTAAAGATTAAAGAAAAATTGGGGAAAAAAAAATGCAGAAAAACAAACTAAATTCTCCCCACTGAATCACAGGTTACATGCTCTATTTAAGTATTGCCTTTTTTAATATCTACATGTATACAAGCTGTATGTACTCCTTTTTATGCATGTAATGAGAATTTAATGACAGCAAGGATCTTAGAGAATGGTTTTCAGTGTAACATACTAGCAGAAGACCTTTTTCGTGTTTGTAAAGTCTTTGAGAAGTAATCTTTGAAGCAAATTCATGCTGTCTCTAGTTGATCACGTACGCTGAATTTCCGGTTTTTTTAACAGTGGTGACGTGTGGAGTGTAGCGTAGATTTTTTAACAATGTTGGATGACTGTCGATTAAAATTGTGCATTGTAGGTGGAAGATATAATCCTCAAAGACCTTTCAAAGTGTAGGGTTTGGCTTTTTCAGTATTCATACATTCTGTCAGGCTTCTGTTTATCCGCCTGCATCCTGATTTCCCTCCCCCTTTTAAGGATACATATATTCAGAGAAAAGGACAGTCACGGAATCTTTAAAAAGGCAGTCTGAAAACGTCTGATTTACGCGAGCTGGAATAGCTGCTACATCCTTTTAAAAGTCACTTGACTGGCTGTTAAGCCCATTTCATCTTTTTGTGGCTTGGAATTTGTCAAATCATCGTGGCAGTTGACCTAGTGTTACTGACCTTCAAAGCCAAATCTCCAGTTCAGCGCCATTTGTCAGTCGGTGTAATAGGGGGATAGTCTTTTCAGACACAAGTTGAACCAAGTTTGATCTTCGTTTCGTTGGAGAAAAGGTACATCATAGACAGCCTTAGGAAATGTCCCTAGTCACGTGAAATATTCTGAGCCGTAGGCTGCCTGTCTATTACTCACGGGGAGTGGGGGATCTTGTATATTTTGGCGGCAACATTTGGGGCTGATTTGGGCATTTGGGGCCCTTACCAAGCATCAGGCATACTCAAGTTTTAAGCAAGCGTGTCATTGAATAATCGTCCTTGGCTTAGGGTAAGGTTTCTTTAGGATAAATGGTAACGTTGATAAGATATAAACACAGGTGTCGAGTATTTGACTCTGTTAACTGATTTCAAGAGTTTGCATCTTGCTCATATTGCTGACTTTGCACCTGCATGTCACTCAGTATTTCCAGTGCCAAAGGTCAGACAAGCTGGTCGATATGTTTCTTCACCTAAACAATGCTGTGATTAGCGCTATACTTAATTTAAAAGCCGAAGCTGCATAGCCATTTTTATTTTTCTTAGCAAGTCTTCCAGAGTTAGTTTAAAAAGTGATTTTTTGTAGCAGGCAATCTCTATAACAATGTATTCCGTGTTGGCAAATATGTATTTTTTCTTTGTTTTTTGATGAAGGACAATGACCATATTCTCGGGTACATTTTATTATTGGACAAAATGACTTCTCAAAGTCTGGGCTTAATCAAGGCACAATCAAGGCAATGTAAAAAATACGAGGAGTGCATTTTTTAGAAAGTTTGTAAAACACTTTAAATTGTTCTAAAGACTGATTAGCAAGTTTTTAAAAAAAAGGACCTGGATAGCTCCTCAGCCATTCCAAAGCTGTACAAAGGTGTGAAGTCTTACACTGGTTCCTGATCTCTCTACTGGAATGTGTGGAGGGAACCAGTCTCAACCACTCCCAGCGCTAGAAAACCTCTTCACAAATCTAGTTTTTGGAGCGTATCATAAGATGGGAGTGACTTCACTTTTAAAAGTCACCGGCCTATCCAGATTTTTTTTTTTTATCCGAGTGTCTTTTTTTTTTTGTTACAGACATGTTCCAATTCTCGACCGTAAACAAGACAAGCCCATAGACATTGCCCTCACACGAGAACAGTATTTGACCAGAGCAATTTGATACAAAGAATAGCCGTGTACATGTAATGGATCACACGGATTATGGTGTGTCAACCCAAGGGTCGTGGCTTTGGTTGGGTTTTGGTTTTCTTTTTTCGTTTTTTTTTTTTAACTTTTATTTTCTCACCATTTTGGATGGATATGTAGAAATTAAAAGAATTGAGACGGGACTCGGTTTCCTAAGGAGACACCCTTGTATGAATAAAGTGAGTGTTGGTGTTTTGTATGCATTGGACTCCTTGTTTGGCATCATTAACCTACATGTTAGACACAGTGCACTTCGTTAGATTCCCACTGACTTTGCCAGAGTGTTGATATGCATTTTTAGGAGTATCTATGAAACAAACATTTGTTCTCAAGCGAAGCCTCTGTGACACACATCACTGCAGTGGAAATTTTTCTAACTACGAATGTAATCTTTATATATATGAAACGAACACTTGTAGTTGGGGGACCCAAGTGGCTCAACAGGTTAGCTTGCTGCCTGGTAGAACCA